AAGCTGATGTTCAAAGAATTCCTTAATATAGTGATGTTGGCGCAAATTTCATTTCTTTTAAAAATGTGAGAAGAAAGGATTAATAAATCAGCCTTACCGGAAACCAAACAAGGGTTTAATTGGAGCTGTGAATACGAAGAGGATATCTGCTCGTCATCCTACAGCCATGAAGACTCCATGCTTAGTCTTTATTGTCTGTTCTATCAAATTCTTGCAATATAAAGTAATGAGAACCTATATTTAGCAAATGGAGGCTACACATTGAAGTTCCAGCATAATCGTATTCGAACCAAACTATATAGGCGTATAAATAGTACTAGAAATTACTATTGAGCCTATCAAAGCCGAAGTAGAGTACTACAGTTGAAAAATTCATCGGCTATATTTGTGCTACTTTCAAGTAGTATATTATATAAATTCAATTATGCTTTAGAAATTATTTTCGAATTACTTTTTCCAGCGTGACTACAAAGAACCTACTCTGCCTAAGGTATTCTATATACGAAGAAAAGTTGGGTTTCGAAGAATCTATGGTTTCATAATTGTTGAGCTTACTTCCATTTCAAGTCGAATTAAGCTCAACAATGAAGTATTCTACTCTTGTTCTCATGTATTTTCCAAGCCTTACAATGTTGATTGGGTACTTTCCCAAAAGTTTTGATGGTGAAGCGATGATTGTAACGATTTATAGCTCGGAGCAATAAAATGGGCTCCGGCGTTAAGTCTAGAAGTGTAAAACTTGCGGTTCCGATGCCAGAAAAGCGATGTAGCCAATAGCAGTGATGCAGTGTAGGGTACGTTCTTTGGAATCCAACTAAAGATGTGATCTCTTCCAATTCAGGAAATTGAATGGAAGGTTTACCAGCATCCGAAGCAATCATCAAGTCAGAGTGAGATTCTGCTTGTTTATTCCTATATATCACATGAATAAGGTTTTTGATGAATAAGAAATCTATGAAGTTTGGATGCCTTGATAAAATCACAGAGGCCTAAATAAAATACAACAGAACTATCTCTGCAGATTGCTGAAGCCTTAGGCGTGTAGTAGTAATAACCCCCTATTTAGGTCAAGAGAGGATAGTACTGCATAATTTTCAATGCTTATAGTACTTGTATGTTTATATATACATGATTATAATATATCAATTGAATTTAATTTTGTCTACAAAACTGATTAGATTACTTAATTATTTATTTATGTACATACTTACTAAAATACTCACTTACTTAATTTCACATGTACATAACTGCATAATTATTAGGTGACTTTTTTGACTTACTTTGTTTCTTATAAATGAATTCACACATTTTGGCTACTTATAGACCGTCTAAAAAATTACTATCTTATTTACAGCCCGTCATGTTCTTGCTTATATCTCAGCATTTCTGTCCGTCTATCTATCTCTATACTTTATCCTCTTACCATCTATTTCACTTTTCTGTTCTCATATACTTCTGCCTTATGATATCTTTTAGATTTACCTGGATGACCTTGACGGCTTCGAACTAGTTCCCCCTTACTTTTATCTCTCGGAATTGGAATTCCAGAGCCTGGCAGGACCAACTCGACGCAGAATACTTGGTCTTGATAAGCGGCTGAGGTCGAAGCATGAAGATCGAGATGAGAGCACGGACTGGTCTCTCCATACGAAGGGTCGGCTATCCAACTGCAGCCTCTGTGATAGTAGTTTAATTGAGCAAAGCAATGGCGTCTATATTATCCGCTTAACAAGTGACGAGCCGAGTCTTATGAAGCGGGTAATTCCCTCATATTTAGGTTTCGTCGTCTTCTTGCGGTTATTTTGCCCGTTCTTGTTTATCTCAATGGCTTGGACCGAATGCAGATCTCATATACAGTTGGCACGGACGGAGCGATATTTGCATTTGTTACATAGGCCAGCGTTGATGGCATGACTTTGGGTTTTAAGATCATCCAGCAAAGTAGTAGGCATTAATATTCGTACTAGGTAGTTTTTAAGTGTATCAGTAGATCTCGAATAAGATTTATAGTCATTCTGGGTCACAATAGGTGATGAATGGCGGATAGCTGAAGTTTCCCACATTGATATGAGTAGGCCTCACGATACTATTGAAGTTAACTTCTCATGGTTTCCTAAGACGTATTCTAATTCAGAGTGACTGTAGTTTCGGCCAAGCCTTTGTTTCCTCGGCATTCTGTAGGGGAATCAAACTAGGTGGAGCCGAATTATCAATAAGTCTTTGTAGTACTGTATCCTTGATGCCGTGCCCTCTAGCATTTGGATCGCTTACTTGAGGGTTTTCTCATCCACATGATCAGAGGGTCCATCTTGTCTCATTGTATCATCAGCAATCCTAGAAGGCATCGAATTTTAGGCTTAAAGGTAAAGAGACAAATGCAGCAAGCATGACTTCCCAGAAAAGCAGATACATGCACCCAAGGCTCAAATCCCGTTATGGGTTCTTTGGAGAAGCCGAGATGTAGTCAAAATAGCATTCAAATATAGAAGACGATGCCCTTTTGGAAAACATGACGAAGTGAGAGCCAATCAAAAAATCAAGCCATCAGTTGAATTCGTATTGGACAGAGTTGCCATCAGCCCAATGCATAAATAGACAAACTGGTGAGCCATACCAAGACGCTATAGTCACAAGTCACAAAACCTCCATCACAAAGAGGATGTAAAAGAATTGGAATAAAATTATTAAATCAAGTAGGGGCTTTGCGGATAATAGGGGATGGCACTTTATATTCTTTTGCCTAAATCCCGGTGACTAAGGATGTATTCAAGGTTACTCATATTGAAAATAAGTAAAGTTATTGATTGCAATCATAAATTCAAGTTCGCCTCATCGTCAATCCCAGTATAAGGGAAGTTTAATTATCCCACAAGGATATGAGTAGAGCTGACGTTTCCATTGAAATTCACATAGCCTTGCTTTCCCAACAGTTGTTCTCATCCAGGGGGACTGCAGTTTCGACCTCGTATCGGTCTTATCAACACCCCCAGCGGGAGTCGAACCGTGACAGTGCAGAATGAGAGCTTGACACGTTAACCAGTCGGCCACATTGCCACGAGTGCCCTTGGGTCACAAGGCAGATCTTACTTTCAAGGAAGACCAGACCTTTTACCATATCATATTCTTTGGTGGAATTTTTGATGAAGCAAACATATACTTTCTATAACAATCGACTACGTTACTTATTTTTCGTATGTAAGTAGATTTTTAAGACTACCAGTAAATCAGTAATATGAGATGTATTCACCCTATTTCGTTTAAGGTGATGAGGGATTGGTAGTAGAATTTTCCTTAAATGAAATTGAGTGAATACATTTCATATTACTGATTTACTGGTAATCTCGAAGCTCTACTCAAATACGAAAAATAAGTAACGTAGTCGATTTTTATAGCAAATATACGTTTGCTTTATCGGCAATTCCACTAAAAAATAAGATATGGCATAAGGCCAGGCCTTTCTTGAAATTCATATCTGCCCTATGACCCAAGGGCATTCGTGGCAATGTGGACGAGTGGTTAACGTGTCGAGCTCTCATTCTGCACTGTCACAGGGTGTTGATAAGACCGATGTGAGGTCGAAACTCCAGCCCACCCTGGATCAGAACGACTTTTGGGAAAGCAAGACTATGTGAAAACTAAGTGGAAACGTCAGCTCTGCTCATATCATTGTGGGAAAATCCTACTACTAGTCCTTCATCACCTTAAACGAAATTGGGTGAATAAATTGCATATTACTGATTTGCTGGTAGTCCCGAAACTCTACTTAAATACGAAAAATAAGGGTATTTTGCCAACCGTCTGGTTTACTTATAAATTAACATTTGTCGATGATCCGCTGGTATCTATGACTATATAGAGTTTAGTTGGTGTGTCGCCACTTGATATGTACGACCCGATTGTGAATCACGTCTGGGATTACCGATGAGACAGACTATGTCAAAAGTGCAGTCCATTCAGGGTGAGGAAATCTTCAAATTCAAAGACATCGTGTTCCTTACTCATATAATTTTGGGAAAGGTGCATCGATTAGCCTTATGTAAACTAGGGTGACTACAACTTTCATAAAAACTTGTGATTTAAAATTAATATACATTTTAGACCATTTAAATAAATAAAGAATTTCAGAGCGACTAGGTCAATCAAACTTTTGAATACCATCGTTTTTACTGCTTGCAGTTTAATACGAATTACAAGGAAAGTGCTAGTGTTGAGACCCAATTGTAGCTAAAAACAGACTTCCTCATTAACTGGGGATCATGTCAACTATTCAGCGCCCTGTTACTTCAGAGGTCGAGAGTTGTACTCAGAATGCGAAACAAATGCTCATGCATTTCCGCACACATTCATATATTTTCATGCTTATACTGATTTTTCTCTTGCAGTCGTTTTTGGAGTAACATTTTCTAAAGCAATACATATTTTTGGGTAGACTTTCATTTCGTATGAAAGTGATTGATGAAGATATTTGTTGATTGATCTCACTGGAAGACGATGGCTGATTGTCGTTGTTCTACCTCTGTTTAGGTTTTAAAATATGGAAAATTTAGCTTAGTTCACGATACATCCTCCCTCTATTCGGTTAAAAACGGACTGATCTTTCTGCCGTCGTATGACGTACATCATCAGAGCTGTATTTCATTCATGCAAAAGTCGTAAGTTAACACTAAGTCAGGAAGACTGACAAGCTTCATATTACATGCTATAAACACATATAATTATAAACAAAAGTATTTAAATATGGAATAATTTGGCTAGTTCTCTTTCATATTATTTTGGTTACTTTTACGTTAGTGTGTGTTTGTGTGTGGTTTTGCATGTGTTGACGTCCGTAGGCGATACCGTTCCTAATTTAAAATAATTTCAAAAGCCTGATGTCAGGCCTGTGTTATCAAGTCTGATATTTGACTCTCGTAAATGCCTCAGTTGGAGGCGGTATTGTTTATCGACTTTAGCACACACATACACACACACACACAGAGGAATACAGCAACATACATATTCCAGTAAAAGTACCATGACTAATAGGTAAGAGGATCAATTAAATCATTCCTATTTATATATTTTCGTTTGTAGTTACAAGTACACGTATTATGTAGGATTAGAACCAGATAGTCATATAGACCTAATGCTAACTTGAAAAGTTTGCCGGAATTATTTCCACCTCCGATGATGTCTTCATATAATGGAGAAAAACTCAACAGATATTCATCCAAACAAAAAAGGAAGTATAGTTGTTTTCGTCGATCTGAACACCGTGTCAAAGCGAAATGGCTGTAGGACAACGGGAATCTACTGTCGCTTTCTGGTGAGATAAATGAACGAATCTCCTAGCATGAACTTCTAAACGAAATGATAGTCTATACAACATTGTTATCTTAAGAGATTAACCAAAACCCATATTTCGTAACTACAGATTGTGCCGATTTTCTTACCAAAAGTCAAGAGTGAGATAATTAGTACACTTTTAGCGGCAGTCTAATATGGTGGAACCGGTTCAAAGCTTAGTCATGAACACCCTGAAATACGATCATTCTGTAGCCTCATTCAGTTGGAAGATTCGTTCACCCAAAAGTCGATTATGGAAAATGTGAAAATCTTTACCCCCTAGTCTGCAAGATGCATTTCGGTTTATACATTTTTGCCTTTTAGACACTCACTTCTGGAACGCAATTTGACTACATTCTGGCAGGAGTTACTTCCTTTGAATTGGCATATGCTCTTCGTCTTGACCTGAGAAAAGGCGGGAACGGTGAAGGCCAGCAAGCCCTAAGCTGTCTGCTGTTTCCTCAACTGTCTTGGGAGGCTGACGAGAAGCTCGATCGCTTAGCAACCGAAAATGGCCTCGGAATTCGCGTGTGGGGAACTGTGAATTTGACAGCGATTACGGTAATCACCTAAATGGCGAGTAGCCTAGCATCGTGTGGCGAGACAGATGTTTCCTTTCTTGAGAGAGGTAGTATGAAACTAGGGAAAAGCCTATTGCAATAAATCGTGCTTACAGTATCTTCACCATATATTGAGAAACAGGGACTAGAACAAGTTTCCAAATCTATTATTTACCAATTAGCTTTCAGAGGCAACATAAAAGAGGTGTGATAGGCCTGTAGTGAGATAAGAGGGTAGGGAGTGGGTAAATGGGACAGCACAGAAAGAGGAGGGATAGGACGACCGTTGGGCAGTACGTAGATCCATTTCTTATCTTACTGGCTGAACGATTTCAGTCGGTTCCAGTGATTCTTGTAGAGCCTTTTATGTTTCATGATTTGTATGCTAATTTTTCTTTCTACTTCCCCAATATATTTCGGTTTGCAGGCGCCGCATGCTATGCAGTAGACTCCTGAAAAATTCAATTGGTCTACCCCTTTATGTTGCGTCAGTAGATTTGTGTAGTGTTGTTTTTTTCCTTCATGGCCACCCGAATATTCTATTTCATTAATATTGGCCGTAGTTTTTGAGTTAGTTCGCAGGAGGATAGACATATCCATTTTTGTGAATGCTTCATCGTCTTTACCGTTCTTTCATAGTCCCCGTTCTGCCATCGACTTTTCATGGCCCGTATGTCTATGTGTATTTATTCGCTTGGGTAGCTGCTGCCGAGGTATATCCAAGTCAATTTGTCCAATTCTTCCTCTCAGAATTCTACATCTGTTAAATATAGGCTTCGGTTGATCATGCTCCTGATTAATCCTAACCCTAGTCTGTAATTGTGAGGAGGTTGAAACTTGAGTATCATCCCGGTATAAGACTTCTTTCTGAACAATTTCTTCTTAAGCGTCTCATTAGAGCGAATCACTTCAAAATCCAGGAAAAGTATTCACTCACCTTTCTCTACTTCCATCGTGAATTGATTTTTTTAATAAATCTGGTTTATAAGCTTGAGAAAATCTTCCAATTTTTCTCTTCCATGTGCCCAAAGTGCGAATTAATCATCCAGGCACCGCATGAGAGCTTCTGGTTGCAGCAGTGACATCTCGAAGTTCTCTTCTAATTTGTTCATGTATTCGTTTGCCAAAAGATGTGAGAGCGGCGATTCCACAGGAAGCCCAAATATTTGTTCATAGATGTTCCTTTTGAATGTAAAATAGGTGGTTCTTATTGCCAACTTCATTAGCCTTGTTAACAACTCCATACCGATCCGTTGTAATTCCAAGATATCCTCCTCTTAGTCCAGGATTTTCAGCAGAGCCGTCAATGCATTTTCTCCAGAGATATTTGTATACATCGGTTCCACATCGAAAGTTACCAATAAGTCCGTTTCTTCGAGTACCATGTTTTTGATTTTTTGAGAAAATTCATATGCATGTTTCACCGTGTTTGATAGCCTCCCGTTTAATATCTTGAGCTTCAAACATATAAACTTTGATCATTTGTGTGTTGTTCCATACTTCTTGTCGACTATCAGCCTTAGTGGCTAGTCTTCTTTGTGTATCTTCGGTAATCCGTAGGCTGTTTGTAGTCGGGCCTCCCATCTTATGATTGAATTTCTTATCCATGTGTCAATTTCCCCGTTTCTATGTATATCATTTAGCATATCACTTAATATTCGATTGATCTTCCTAGTAGGATCCTTCTTTAGTTTACGATATGTAGTCCAGTCTCGTAGAATATATACCATCTTCTCGTTTTATTGTTTTTTGTTCATTATCACTACTACTCCTCCTTTATCCAATTGAAGAACTAATTGTACATTCGTGTCCAGGGCATTGCGCATCCTGGAAAATCTGCTTCAGTGTGATCTTTCTTGATGTGTCAATATCTTTGGAAGTAGTTTCATCTCCAGTTCCCGTTTTGTCTCCTCAGGGAACCTTACTGAGATTTTTATAATCTCCACCAGGATGACTTTTAAAAGGCTTCTGTCATTTTGAAAGGAAATACTGAATCATTTTCCAAGATCGTGGTTGTTTCGGGGTTAAGACGAAATTAGGATAAATGTACTACATTCTTCCGATCGTCGAGCTGATTAGTAGGTGTGTCACCGGGGAAACCAATTACGTAATTTATCGTGGTGTCATTTTGCTATTAAATCAGAGATCCTACGTGATTTCCTGTTGGTCATGCTCTGGAATTTCTGAAAGTCTTCCGGAGTCATGGTCTGTACCAAATAGACAGTCTGATGCTGGGAAATATGATAACTACTACGGCAGAGGACTTAAAGCAAGGTGCGCTCTATTAAGTCGCCCTGACAACAAGACCAAGTTGCGAAAACGAGATCAACCCACTTCTGTAGGCAGCGAAGTCCGTAGCATAGGAATATTGTAGGATTTTACCTTTTTGAACTAGAAATAAGAATCTCCAGCATATATGACTATTTGATGAGCTAATGGAGTCACGAATTATCCGGAAATGTTTAATACTAAGTAGTAAAAGTGTATATGCCTGAGGCTTGTAGAGAACCAAAATCTGGAAGCGCTTCAGCAAATATAGTGAATACTCACAAAAATACTTTAAAATTGACAATTTGATATGTGCATCAGTAAAGGAAATTATGATAAATGATAATATAAGAAATAAGGATATCTAAAATTGAATCAGCACAATGAATACATATCATTTACAGTAATGAAGACATGCAAACATATGAGCTG